CCTACATCACCATACACAGGACTACTCTCATAGTTAAGGTTCTTTTGGTTGTGAGAGAGAACCTTGTTCAAACTTAGTTGAAAGAAGAGAGTTTATTTAAGGATATCTCAAGGAATCTCACAACTGGAAGGCCCGAGGGATAAAGACAGTCTGTCTCTCTCTCTCTGTCTTACCACATGGTTGCTTACCTCTGCTTTTCCGTGCACACGGCTATAGATGCCCTCCCACTAAGTTCCAGAGTTCCACGTTCTCAGGTCAGGCCACCAGCAGATACCTGTACATTTCCGGATCCCGATTCTAATTTCCCAGGAGTAAACCCGATTGGCCCAGCTTGGGCTCCATCTACACCCCTGACCCAGTCAGCTGTGGTGAGGACAACGGCTAAGTACAAACGCTGCGGCGCCCTCTGGAGGTCGGATGTTCTCACACAGAGGGAGGGGTGGGGCTGGGCAGGTGCCCCCAGTGGTTTTGACCCCAGCCACAGATCGAATATAAAATGTCTACTCTATTAGGCTGCTTTCTGAGCTCTGGATGGTGATTGGAGAAATAAAGCCAGTGCTAGGCTCAAACCACAGACTCGTAGAGGTGGGTGGGAGCTGAAGGGCTGACATGTGGAAGAGGGGACAGTCCTCCGTGGCCCTCGAAGGCAGGAATAGGGCCAGTGGGTGCCAATAGCAGGAAAGTGGGTTTCAGCTTTATGTAAAGAACTTCCTGATGCTTAGAGCCCACCTCCTCCTCAGTCATTCTGCTCTTATCCCCAAAAGCCACACCATGATCCTAGGGCGCCCTTCCCAGCCCACTGGTTTCTCTTTTCTTATTCAAACTGTTTTACAAATACATTTGTAGGCATTTATTGCATTCATTCCCGTGGGCAGAGCTGAGATATCCCACTTTACAGATGAGCAAACAGGTGAGGTGACTTGGTCAGGTTCCCCAGGGCTACATTCCAGGTCCTTCCTGCCACCATGCCGAGGCTGGCTAATTGCCCTCCTCTCCCTAACAGGAACTGGCCTGCATTTGGCCTCTGTATAAAACGGTCTCTTCATATCTCAGGCTGATGTTGGGTTCCATCACGCCCCTTGCGTGTGAGTACTAGGTGAGGCTCTAAATGGCCCTTGAAAGACAAGGGTCCTCACATCTCCCCTCCCCAAAATATTTTACTCACAAGGTGGCATTCTGTAGCTTTTCAGTCACTATCTCTTCGTTCAGGGGCAGGACAAGAACTCCAGCAAAATCCAGATGTAGCAGGCAAGATTACTGGGTTGAATGCAACTCCCTCTTGTTCCTCAAGGTCCGTGAGCATTCCTCTGCCCTCTCCCCCCTTCCTCTGCCTCGACCCTCCTCATCCAGCTCAGGCTCACCCGTCACGGGGGCCTCATTGACCCTCACTCCTGCCCACTCCCGAACACGCCATCCTTGTTAAAGATTCCTCTGGGTCCCCACAGCCCTTATGTTTAATGCATACAACGCAAAGCAGTATAGCTCAGACGTTAAGGAGACAAAGTTTAGCGCCAGCAGATGGAGGTCAAATCCTCCACCCCTCACCAGCTGTGTGACCTTGGGCCAGTTGCTTAACCTCTCTGGGCCCACTCCTAATCTGTAATGGGAATGATAGCAGATCCATCTCCTAGAAGCAGCATGCCCTGAGATAATACATGTGAGTGAATAGTGAGCACTCCATATACAGCACCATGTTTACATGAGAACCGGCTTTCGAGGGCTTTAGAACAGGGCCTGGCACCCAGTAACATAGCAGTAGTAGTGTTGTCATCATTTCTCACATTGCCCTTGATAAATCGCCCGTTGGCATGTCTGCCCCATCAGTGAGAAAAAGGTGTGTCCTTTGCTCTCAAACCCCCGTGGCCTGGCATACAGCAGGCACCTACTAAACAGCTGCTGAATGAACAGATGAACAAACATTCTGTTAGGCCCTACAGGGCATAAAAGTAAATGCAAACGCCACTCCCCTGTGGAGAGGGCACAACCAGGCTGGTCTGAAGGCGCCAAGGCAAGGGCTGGCCCACTTCCTCCTTAAAGGACTAGACAGTCAACTTGGGGGGTCTGTGGGCCATACGCTCTCTGCTGCAACCATTGAGCTCCGGCCACAGACAACAGGTAAATGCGTGGGCGTGGCTGTATGCCAACAAAGTTTTATCTATGGACACTAGAATCTGAACTTCAAGATATCTTCACAAGTCATAAAATGTTATTGTTTTGATTTCTTTCCCTCAACCATTTAAAAATGGGAAAATCACTCCTAGCTCGCCAGCCGTTCGACCCAGTGCGCTGGTTTGATTCGGCCGGCAGCCGGGGCCCGCCCGCCCTCGCTCCACGGCTCCTGGGGGCGAGACGCCGCCGGGGGCGCCGGCAGGGAGGCGGGCCTGGGATTGGGCCGGGCAGGGTGGGCGGGGCCGAGCGTGGGGCTTCGTGACGTGCGTGTGGTTGCGGAGGGCTGTCCGGGATTGGTCCACTCCGGCGGCCGAGAGCGCGCGGCGTGTGCGGCATTCAGCCAATCAGCGCGGCGCTGCCGCCTCGCCCCGCCTCGCGCAGGCGCCCTCGTCGCGCGAGAAACGCGCCACGCCCCCTCGCGCGCCCAGCGCTCACTTCCGGGCACAGGCGCGGCGTGACGTCAGGAGAAGGGCAGGTAAGTGCGGGCGGGCGGAGGGGCGGGCCAGGCGCGGCCGGGGGTCTGGCCGCCGCCTCCGCGACCTCGGAGCCCCCCGGCGGGGCCGAGCGAGCCGGGGGCCGCGGGGCTCTGCGGACGCGGGCCGGGTGTGCGGAGCCGGCGCAGGTCCCAGCCCGGCCCCAGACGCAGCCTGGCCCCCACTCTGCCTCAAGGGCCCTGGGGTTTTCCTCGCCTGGGAAACGGGCCCGTCAGCCCCTACCTGGCTGGGTCGTGGCGAAGGTTTCGTAAAATGACGCTTGTAAAACAGTGGACGTGAGAAATCATCAGAATCCCAGCGTTTAAGTCGGGCTCTGTTTCAAGCACTTCATTTAACTCGCCGAGTCCTGACAGCGTCCTTATCGGGTGGATACCTTACAAACCCCATTTGACAGACGAGGAAACTGAGGCTCAGGGATAGTAGGCAATTTGCCCGAAGTCAAGCCGCTCCGCAGCAGCAGAGTGGGTGTCCAAGCCCAAGCACACGCCCTGAGCGGGGGGTTTATAATTACTCTGGACTCCGAGGACCAGGGGTTTCCGTACGGCCACCCTACAGCCCCTCTGTGCCGTTCACTGCGGCGGTAAAACCCCCGTGCGACCCCCAGCTCCGGTAACGGAGCACTTACTCTGCAGGCGTTTCCCAGCGCGTTACTTCATTCACGGCACCCCCAGAAAGTCAGCCCCGTCGCCCCCATCCGCTCCTTACAGGTGAGGACATAGAAGCTCAGGGAAGCTCAGACTCTGGCCCCGGCCACCCAGCTGGGGAGGGTTCAGCCCCAGGGAACTGGGCCCCCGCAGCCTGGGTGCGCACTTGGCCATTTTGTGGGCAAGAGCATTTTGGGGTTGGAAGCAGCCTTAGGAAGATCTGGTCCAGGGGCAGACAGATGGAGGACCGGGAGGGAGAGAGCATCCGGTGATGGCGGAAGTTTGCCTCCAAGGCCTTGCACCCTGGCTCTGCCTCCCCGTGAGATTCTGACCCTGGGCAAGTTCCTTAAGCCCCCACGTCCTCGTTCTGGAGGTCGTAGTCACATGATGCAGAGTAAGGGCGGCAGTGAGGTCAGACTCAGCGCGGCGCCTGGCACACGGGAACCCTTCCCGAGCGCCCGGCTAAGTGGGCGGAAACAGAGACCAGGTGTCTTGAGCACAGGGAGCCGGCACACTACACCCACAGGCCAAGACCAGCCCGCTGCCTGACTTTGTACAGCGTGCCAGCTACCAATGGTCTTAATTTCTTAAATGATTGGGAAAAAATCAAAAGGACAATATTTTGTGACAGGTAACAATCGTGAAATGCAGATTTCAGTGACCCTAAATAAAGTTTTATTGGAATGCAGCCACACCCGTTCGTTTACATAGTGTCTGTGGCTGCTTTCTAGCTGTGGTGGCAGAGCTGAGTTTGGGGCACAGAGGCGGTCTGGCCCGCACAGCCAGAAATGTTTACTCTCTGGCCCTGGACAGAGAAAATTTGCCAATCCCGATTCTAGAATATGCTTCCGTCCCTCATAGTGTCCCTCTTTAGAGCAAAGTAGAACTTCCTCTTATTTGACCTAAAAGTCTCTCCCCCAAACATGCAGGGGGAGGGGGTCTCCCCACCCCCAGTTTTAGGAGCCCCTGCATTCAGTAGCTGTGTCACCCGCACTGATTCTTATGGGACCTCAACCACTTACCTGGGTGGTTCCCGCAGTCAGCATTCACCAGGGGCCAGGCACCGTCCAGGGGCTGGAGATACAGCTCGATGTGACCTGGCAGAGGAGACAGACTGTAGACAAGTAAACAGACGCAGGGTGATGTGTTAGAACCCCAGGGAAGAAGTGACTTTAGATCAGGTGGTCAGACAAGGCCTCTGACAAAGGTGTCTGAACTGAGACCTGTGACAAAGAACAGACAGCTGGTGGAAGGACACTCGGGCCAGTCGGCCTGCACCTGCTGAGCCTTTGAAGGCAGCCAGGGTGCCAGGGTGGCTGGAACAGAGTGAGCGAGAGGGAGAGGGGTAAGAGGGGCTTGGAGAGGCAGGCGGGGACCCCACAGGCCACGGGGAGGGGTTTGACTTGTGTCTCGAAGTGATGGGAGTCACTGGAGGGCTTTAAGCAGGAAAGTGATAGTTCACATTTATATTCTAAGAGATCCTCTGGCCCTGTGGGGAGAACAGACCGTGGGAGTCACGGGCAGAGCCTGGAGGCCGGGCAGGAGGCGACGGCACTGGTCCAGGCGAGTGGGGCTGGGGCCATGGAGGGTCAAGAAGTGTCAGCTGTGACTGTGTGCTGGATGGAGAGGGCACAGGACACTCTTTCTAAACGGCAGACGCCACTCCTCAGATGCCAGCTGCTCCTGGGGAGAGGATCAGCTGAGCCACCACCGCCACACACAGGCACGCAGCCCACGGCTTCTTCATAGGGAGGCCGCGGACCCCCCGCCAGGCTCCCCAGGAGGACAGGACTGGGCAGTGGGTCGACGCCACGCCATCGGTGTGTCGTCTTTGCAGATTGGTCGTGCTGAGGGCGAGGACCCATAGGCGGCTCCCAGGATGGTGAGTAGATGGGCTTGTGCTCACTGGGGTTCTCTTCTGGGCTTTGTCGGACCCCCGCAGTGGCCCCTGCCCTCCCCGCAAAAACCCCTCCTAAGCCCCCTCCCCAGGCTCTAAGGTGCTCTCTGCAAACTCTGGGTCGTGGTGTTGGGCACAGTGGTTCTCACACTGCTGGGCACTAAAGTCACCTAGGGAGCTTTCTTCTTTTTTTTGACTTTTTTTTTTAAATGAGGTAAAATTCACATAACATAAAATTAACCATTTTAAAGTGTACAATTCAGTGGCATTTAGTACATTCACAATATTGTGCACTGACCACCTCTATCTAGTTCCAGAACATTCCCATCACCCCAAAAGGAGACCCCATCCCCATGAGCAGTCCCTCCCATTCCCCTCCCTCAGCCCCTGCCTACCACCAAGCTGCATCTGTCTCTATGGATTCGCCTGTTCTGGACATTTCATATCAACGGAATACACCACGTGGCCTTTTGTGTCTGGCTTCTTTCACTTAACAGAATGTTTTTGAGGTTCATCCACGTTGTAGCACGAATCAGAGCTTCATAGTCCACTGTGTGGATGGCCCACACTTATTGGTCTGTTCATCCATTGATGGACATGTGGGTTGTTTCCACCTTTTGGCGACTGTGACTAGTGCTGCTATGAGGCGTGTACAAGGATTTATTTACACACGTTTTCTTGCTTTTTCGAAGCCCAGCGTCCAGGTGCCATGGCCCCAGAGCAGGCCATGTGTCAGGAGAACCGGCGGAGGTTGGTCCCAGGCATCAGAATTTAGAAACTCCTCAGGGGCTCGTAACGTGCAGCCAAGTTTGAGACCCACTGGTGGTTCTGCCAGCATTTAAAAAGACAGAGTCTTGGGGCTGGCCTGGTGGTGTAATGGTTAAGTTTGCACACTCCACTTTGGTGGCCTGGGGTTCGTGGGTTTGCATCCCAGGCATGGACCTACACGCCACTCATCAAGCCATGCTGTGGCAGCGCCCCACATATAAAATAGAGGAAGATGGGCACAAATGTTAGCTCAGGGCCAATCTTCCTCAGCAAAAAAAAGAGAGAGACAGACTCACGGCTGGATAAGGATTCTGTCCTGAAAGCTGTGCTTCAGGTGTGTTATGTGTGTATTTGCACGGTTGCATGTTAAATGTGTCTAACCGTAGGTCAGAGTCCCAAAAATTGTGAAAGCCATTGTGTGGGAGTCTGATCCTGGTGCAGTTTTCCACAGCGCCGACCATGGGTTTTCTCCTAAGTCACCAGTCCCCAGTCAGACACAGAGCCCAGGGCCCTGCTCTCTGCTGTCCTTCGTCTCCCTCATCAGGTCCCACCCCCCGAGGCTGCACGAGCAGGTCTCTGGCGGGACCCCCTCTGAGTCACGTCTCTTCTGCCTTCCAGGGTGAGAGGAAAGGTGTCAACAAGTACTACCCTCCGGATTTCAACCCTGAGAAGGTGAGACCAGGCCCCCTTCCCCATTTCTGCGACCCCCTCGGGCAGGGCCCCACCACGCATTGTCCCGTCCCAGAAGCCGCGCCCACAGACTCGTGGGCAGCCCCTGAGGTCCCGCCTTGCAGCTGTCACAGGAGTTGGGCCGGTCTTCAGTCCAGGTGGTGAATGTGGCTCTGTCAGTGACCTTTCACTCTGAGCCCATTGGCGTGTCTCCGAGGAGCTCAGGACGAGGTCTGGCCCTCGGGCTCTGGGTCAGATCTTCCTGCTCTCCCAGCTCCAGCTCCTCTGGCCTCCTCGTTCCTTCTGCTGTTCCCTCTGCCTGGAATCTCTTCCTCCTTTTAACGACAAGGCTCCTTCCCTTCTGTTAGGTCTCTCCTCACAGAGGGCCTCCCTCACCACCGTCTCGTTCTCTATTGCATCACCCAGTGCTTTATTTCTCTTGGTAGCCCTTATAACTCCTTGACTATTGTCCACTTATTTGTGTATTGTCCGTCTCCCTCTGGAATGAACGCCCACCAGGGCAGGGCCGTTCACCTGTCTCGTTCACGGCTGGTCCCCACACGGAGGTGCTCAGTCAGAGCCTGAGTGAATCCACACATCCCAGCTGCGTGGCCCCGGGCATGTGACCCGGCCTCTCTACGCCGCAGTTTCCCCATATGTCCAGGGAGGGAGATAAAACGACCTACCTCGCAGAAGGTGAGGGGTCAAGATGGGGTGAGGCCCACAGAGGACCAAGTAAGCATTAGCTGGTGTCGTCACCTCACCTGAGGTGATTACCGTCCTTGTCCCCAGGGACGGGTAGGGGAAACCGAGGCTCAGGCAGGCCACAGGTCAGCACACCCCCCGGGGTCCTGCGGCTGTGTCACCTCTAAGTGGGGGAGGAAAGATGAAACTCACGTGTTCCTGATTCCAAGCCCACGGCTTCACCCAGGCCTCAGTGCCCGGTCCACTGCTAACCCCCCAGCAGGACACGGGGAGGCGTCTCTCGGCCCGTGAGGGCGCGCGAGCTCCCCCGCTCAGCCGTGCTGATCCGCTGCCTCGTCCTTTCCACACAGCATGGCTCTCTCAACCGCTACCACAACAGCCACCCGCTGCGGGAGCGGGCTCGGAAGCTGTCCCAGGGCATCCTCATCATCAGGTAAGGCCCCGCCACCACCCGGGGACTCTGCCCCTCATGCCACCTGGCACTGATTTCTGGGAGAACTCAGCACCCCGATTTGCCCAGCGCTGCAGGGGCTTGATTCTGTAAAGCAGAAGGTCACTGTATCAGTCAGCTGTTGCCGCGTAACAAAACAGTAAGCGTGTGTTACTGCTCACAAGTCTGTGGCTCAGCTGGATGCTGCTCCCAGCCTCGGCCAGGCTCTCTCACGTGTGTGGGGGTCGGCTGGCTGGGGACTGGCCGGTCCAGCACAGCCCTGGCCGATACGACTGGGCTCTGCTCCACGTCTCTCATCCTCCATCGACTAGCCTGGGCTTGTTCACATAGCAGCGTCAGGTCCCAAAAGAGAGCGAGCAGAGCCATGCAAGGTGTCTTGAGGCCGAGACGGGGAACTGGCACCACGTCACTTCTGCCCCAGTGAGGGCTCAGAAGAGTCACGATGCGGGGTGGGGCAGCACAGGCCACCTCTCCACGGGAGGTGCTGCAGAGTCACAGTGCAAAGGGCACAGCCATGGGCAGGATAGACAGTTGCAGCCACTGGTGACTGCCGAGCCAGGACAACGGCCCTTCCCTCGGGGTTCTCCTCTCGTTTCTGGCCCGCGCTCTGTGCACCGTCTGCAGCAGGAAGAAGAAGCCAGCTGTGCGAGCCCTTCGCTGCTTCCTCCTCTGCTCTGTGGACTCTGCCCGCAGCCTCCCGGAACCCCGCTGGGCTTGAGCAGAGGATCGAGCGACAGAAACATCAGAGGCGGGAATGTCTATGGAAAAGAGTCAAAATGCGGGTCCCAGCGGTGTTCGTGGAGGCACGGGGCTGAAGGACACCTCAGTTCTCCCCCGCCCTGTCTGCACGCCCCAGAGCACACCCAGCTCGCCCACCTCAGGCCCATCTGCTCTGGGTGCTGAGCCCCCGCCTCGTCTGTGCAGTGTCTTTAGTTCGCCTCATTATTCATTACTTAATGGTTCTCTTTTAAAAGAGAAGCCCTGTCACCACTGTTCAGGGAAATCCAGGATTGCACGTCGCACGTAGAGCTGTGAAAAAGAAACCGGTAACAGTACAGTCACACACCTGTGCCCCCGCGCCCGCTTCCTCCCCTGCTGCTCAAAGGCCTGGTCAGCCGACATGGCGAGGCTGGAAGGCCCGGCAGCACCCAGTAGAGCCTCCCCGGGCCTGGGTCAGCCGGCCGAGAGCAGCACGACGGGACGGGCCTCCGTTCTTCACCCTCCCCAGCGCGTGCTCTTCGCACTGTGGCTGCGGGCACTCTCGGGTGTGGAGACCGGGGAGCCCCGTGCGCGGATGCAGACGAGCTGTTTTCTGTCGTGTAGATTCGAGATGCCCTATAACATCTGGTGCGACGGCTGCAAGAACCACATCGGCATGGGTGAGCTCCCCGCCGGCCCCGCCCCCTGCCCCTTAGCTGCCGGGGCTCCCGAAGGGGTCAGGGAGAGACGGCCCCGAGTGACTGGCGGGCTGTGGACGCCTCACTGCAGAGCGGTTAGGAGGCTGGGCTCTGGGTTCAAATCCCGTCTCTGCCACTTCCTAGCTGGGCAACCCTCTGAGCCTGTGTGTACCTCAGTTTCCCTGTCTGTAAAATTCAGATGGTTGAGTACCCACCTGTGTGGCGTATACGTGCTTATCGCACGGCACATATGAGGGCTCGTGAACTCAAGATGCTGCCCCACAGACGGACAGACAGACAGACGTGGGTCCACCGCCCCCCTCAGCGGCTGTGAGACCACCCTACCGGCTTCCGTTCCCTCCTCCATGGTCCAGGGCGGCTCAGCTCCTGGCACAGCACCTGGCCTGCACACAGGAGCTGGCGGCCCCCGGCAGGAGGGTCCCGCCCGTCTCACGGGACTGGGCCACCCCACTGCCGAGGAGGACGAGCGAGCCCCCGGCATGTCCCCTGATCAGACCGAGCCAGGGCCGTCCGCCTCAATGGCCACCGGGCACCCAGGGGACAGACGGCGGGGTCCGCCTGACACCCCACGTGGGGCCCTTGGGTCCGTGAACAGAAACAGCCGCCAGCCAGACCACACCTCCCGCCAGCCCAAGCTCTGTTCTTCTAGTTTAAAGGTTTTTCACCCAATAAGCAAGGTCACACAGAGTCAAGAACATATATTATCTAACCAGCAAAAAAACAAAAACCCGGGCATTCTCTGGACTGATAAGGAAAGCTGACCCTTCTTGAAGGCTTGCTGGGTGCCCGGCCCAGTCCCTGTCGTGTGTAGTGTTAGCTCCTGCCATTCTCACGCAGCCTGTGTGGAGGCACATCCCTGTTTAATAAATGGGGAAACTGAGGCCAGAGGGGGAGGTCTAGGGTCACACAGCGGTCAGTGGGGAGCCAGGATTTTGACCCAGGCCCCCCAGCTCCAGCCCTCCCTCCCCGGGGGCTGGAGCACCTGCCACACAGCCTGGACGTGGCCCTTCCCCGCCTTGAATCTCCGTGCCCTCCCGAGGTGCCTCCCCCGAGGGGGCAGAATACCACCCCGTCTGCCCCACCCAGGGGGTGGCCTGAGCCCTGGCCCCGCTCGCCCTCTCCTCCCAGGTGTTCGTTACAACGCGGAAAAGAAGAAGGTTGGCAACTACTACACGACCCCCATCTACAGGTAGGGGCAGCCTGGTGGGCGTCACAGAGGGACACATGGGGTGGCTGCAGGGTGAGGGGCTACAGAGGAGCCTAAGGGGAAGGGAAGCTCGCGCCCTCTTCACGATGGCCCTTACCTGCCGGCCTCTCCTGGAAACTGTCTTGGTCTGTCCGTCAGGGCGTGTCCTGCCTAGAACCCTCCACGGCTCCCACCTTCCTCAGAGTAACAGTCTAAGTCCTCCCCGTGGCCTCTCCCTGCCCTCACCTCCTCCCACTGCCCCTCACGCACTCTGTTGCAGCCACATGGCCTCCTCGCTGCCCCCACACACCCCCGGGGTTCCCACCTCTGTGTCCTCCACCTGGAACGCTCTCTCTGCCCAGACACCCACAGGGCTCCCCCCTCCCCTCGGGTTTCTGCTCAGACACCCGACACTGTCTCAGAGAGGCCTTTTCTAGCGGCGCTTGCCGCCCGACCCTGTGGCTGCTTCTGCCTTTGCTACCAGCGCGGCCCCCACAGGCACGTCAGCCCCTCCGAGAGCAGGTTGGCTTACTTCACTGCTTGTCCCCAGCGACTGGTGCAGAGCCTGCCACAGAGCAGCCCAGCCCAGCCTGGGGGGTTTGTTGACTGAATGCATGAACGAATGCATGAATGAAGGAATGGACTCCAGACAGAGGTCAGTTCAGGGTGACAAGACTGTGGCGGCCCCCAGATGCGGGGTGCTCAGCGGACACTCGTTGACTGACGCACGCACGGAAGGGAGCAGGCAGGGTCCCCGGGGTGGCCTGGGCGCGGCCGCGGTGCCCGCCTCCCACCCGCCGCCCTCTGCCTGCCAGGTTCCGGATGAAATGCCACCTGTGCGTCAACTACATCGAGATGCAGACAGACCCCGCCAGCTGCGACTACGTGATCGTGAGCGGTGCCCAGCGCAAGGAGGAGCGCTGGGACATGGCGGACAACGAGCAGGTGCTGGCGACAGGTGAGCGCCCGCGGCCCTGGCCAGCCCCAGCCCCAGCCCCGGCCCCACGGCCCGAGGCCCAGCAGCGCTCTCGCCCTCGCAGAGCACGAGAAGAAACAGAAGCTGGAGACGGACGCCATGTTCCGGCTGGAGCACGGCGAGGCCGACCGCGGCGCGCTCAGGAAGGCCCTGCCCACGCTGAGCCACATCCAGGAGGCCCAGAGCGCCTGGAAGGACGACTTCGCCCTCAACAGCACGCTGCGCAGGAGGTTCCGGGTGAGCGCGGCTCCGCGGGCGGGCACCCCCCCACACACCCCCACTCCGGAGCCGATGACGCCTGGCGGGTGAAGACCCAGGCCCTGCCCTCGCCCCACCTTGGCCTAGCTCTAGGCGGGCCGTTTCTCCCTTGAGCCTGCTCCCATCCGCCACGTGGGGACCACGTCCCTAGCTCACGGCGCCCGTGGGGGGCCGTAGTCCAGCAGCCGTGATGAGGCACTGGCCCCTTCCCCAGGGGAGAGCGCCGTCACTTCCAGCAGATTCTCAGATAGCAAGCCGCGCGTGGGCCACGGGTGAGGCCTGAGCGGGCCGTGGGGGGCAGGCGGAGGCCCAGCCAGGCACGACCCCCTGGTCGGCTCCTACCACGCACTCGTGTGCCCGCCCACTGTCCCCAAACCAAATAGGTCATCAGCCCCTGCGCTCGTAATTTCCAGAATTGTGCCTGCAGTGCCTACCGTGAGAAAAAAGGGAAAGTCATTTATAATACAATCGTGTGTATTTCAACATGGAATATTTCCACACGGAGAGTCACCAAGGCACAGGTGCAGGCGCCCCCGCGCCCCGGCGTGTCCTGCTGGAGGACCCCGGGCACCGATGTCACTGACCCCGATGGCTGCTGCGGTGGTGCCAGAAATACTTGGTGGGGCTGAGTCCCGGGAGCCGGGCCGGGTCAGATGACTACGATAGCAAGGGGTCTTCACCCTCGAGGGCAGCTGGCAGGGTCCCCGCAAGTCGTGCGGGCCGTGCGAGTTGCTCCCTCGTCCCTCGCTCTGGGGCCCAGGCAGGAGCGTCCCGGCGACCCCACGGGCCACCAGCTCCTGTCCACGGCGCCCATCCCTTCTTGTCTCCTTTCCTGATCGTCTCTGGTCATCCCGCGGTCGTTATTGTTAGGACTGGAATTGCTGGCTTTGTTACTTGTTACTGAAAGTGCCTCCCTCCAGCCAGGACTGTGCCCTGAGCTGTGTGTCCCCTCCCTGCTGGCGTCACCGCATGGGGGCGTCTAAGCACCCTCAAACGTAACATCCCAACGAGCCCCCCTGAGCCCCTGACCTGCCCCGCCCACGTCCTCCCCTTCTCAGTAACAGAGGCATCCCCGTCCTTCCGGAGACTCAGGCCCCGGAGCGTGGAGTCGGCCTTAACTCCCCCTTCCCTGTCTCCTGTCAGCAGATTCATCAGGTTCTGCCTTGCAGTGAGATCCAGTATGTGGCCACTTCCCCAGCCCCCATCACCTCCGCCTAGACGAGCACAGTCCCTCTCCCTGGTCTGCAGGCTCCAGCCCTTGCCCCCCCCAGTCTGTTCCCCCACAGCTACCACAGGGCGCCTGCGAGCACCTAGTCAGAGCATGTCCCTCTGCTCAGAACCCTCCATGGCTCCCACTTACTTAAAGTAGAAGCCAGAGTCCTCCCCGCATCCCACCAGACGCCACCCCCCCGCCCCCCGTGCTCATTCTGCTGCAGCCACACAGGCCGTCTCCCTGTTCCTCAGCCCCTCCAAGCATGCTTCTGCCTCTGGGCCTTTGCACAGACTATTCCCGCCACCTTGGAACCCTTTTCCTCCAGATACCCACATGGCTTCCTCACTCACGTCTATTCTCAAATGTAACCTTCTTGGGGAGACAGTCCCTGGCCCTCTCCTCCACCCTGCACCCCATTTAAAGTTGAACCCCCAGCCCACCCCCCACACCTTCTCCACATTCCTTTTCTCTTCACCACTTTGTCTCTCTCGCCCACTCGGAGGTCAGCTCCAGGGAGCAAGGGTTTGGTCTACTCTCTGCTGTGCCCCGTGTCTAGAACAGGGCCTGACAGCAGAGGGGCGTTCTGTAAACGTTTCTGGGACGAGTGAGGGCGGGACGGAACAGTACGCACGCTAACACGACTGCGCCTCCCGCTTGTTGAGTGGGCCTGTGCGCGGCCCCGGTGTGAGGCCCTCTTCTCGCATGAGCTGAGGGGAGGAACCTGAGGCCGGGAGGCAGCGGTGCCCCCGGGTCAGCTCAGCCACCCTCCCCCAGGAGAAGAAGAGAGCCGAGCAGGAGGCGGCGGAGAGGGACCAGGCGCTGCAGACCAAGGCCAGCCTGGCCATCCCGCTGCTGCCCGAGGCCGACGCGGACCGCAGGCTGGCCGCGCTGCTGACGCTCCACACCCTGGACTGTGCGTGGGGGGCGCGGGCGGGGGGGGGGGGCGCGCAGAGGGCGGCTCTGGACCTCCTCTCCCCTCCCCGCAGCCTGCGAGGACAAGCAGAGGCTGAAGCGCACGGAGATCAGCAGCCGCTCCTGGTTCCCCGCGGCCCCGGCGCCCGGCGCCGGCAGCAGCAGCAGCAGGGCCGTCAGCGTCCTGAAGAAGCTGGCCCAGACCCGCAGGCCCGCGCCCGCCGGCTCCCCTGTCACCCCGGGGGCCCTGGGCATCGTGCGGCGGCGCTCCCGGGAGGCCTCAGAGGGCCCCCCGCGCGAGGGCCAGGCCCCCCGATCTGGGGAGCCATGGCTGCCCGAGGGGACCGCCCAGGACAGGCCCGCATCCCCCCGAGACTGCTCTCAGGAGACAGCTGAGACTCCCAAGACCAGCGGGCCTCAGGGGTGTGATGGGAGCTGGCAGGACAGGCCCCCGGCCCCGCCAGGCTCCCGCCAGGAGGCGGCCAACCCCCGGGACATGCCGCAGCCCTGCAGCCTCGGCTCCTCCCTGGTGGCCGACTACTCCGACTCGGACAGTGAGTGAGCGAGCCGGGGACTGGACCCCCCCTGCCGGAGGCCCGGCACCCAGGAGGCCCCTTCCCCGGGGGTAGCCCCTCCCAACCTCGCCTTCCCACAGCCGTGGAGTTATTTATTTGGACTTGGAGAGGACGTTTGTGCGTGGTGGGACCCCCAACATTAAAGCTCTATGTCTTTGCTCCCTGCCTCGGGTTACTAGATGGGCCCAGGGGCTCCCCCCCCCAGCCGCTGACGAAGCCTGGCAGGATTCTCATCAGCAAATGCCAATGCTGTGACCACAGCCGTGGTCCCCACCCAGCTTGACAAGGGTTTGAAGGTAGTTGCTCTGGTCAGCCTGCAATCAGGGCAGACTTTCTGAAGGAGGTGGCACAGGCTGAGTGTGAAGGGTGGAAAGGGGAGCAGGGGGGCACACGGCATGCCCAGGATCTGTGCCAGATGCAGCTAGGGGTAGAGCACACGGATGTGGCTGTTCATTATCCCGGGACGCCCTGGACGGGCCATGAAAAAGTTCCCAGCACCTTGCTGCTTTTGAAGGAAACGTAAACTGAGCAGAAAACGGCCCAGAAGCAGCCACGCATCCACCGGGAGGCTCAGGGCCCCCACCTCCCCCTAAAGCTTGGAGAAGGAGGGCCATTTCACGAAGATGGTGGGGCCTTGCGCGTGACAGACGCTGTCGCACCACTGGGGTACAGCGGGGAACCAGCCGGGCACGCGGCCCTCCGGGGGCGGGTTCCGGCCGAATTCCTAGTTCGCGTGTCTCCCGGAGGTGGTGGCCTGGCCGCTGCCCCGGACCCCGGCCTTTGCTCCCCGTTCGTTCTTGGAATCCCCAGTTGGAGCCGCTGGTAGCACTCGCTCTGGCTGGGAAGTCAGGCACCTAAGGGTGCCCACCTGGGGTTTGAGGGTCACCCTGGGACCCCCTAACTCTGGTGGCAACGCTCAGCACCCGGCGGGACAGCCTGCAGGCCTCTGGTCCCGCGCGGCGGCTGGGGGGGCGGGGAGGGGCGGCGCGCGCGCC